GGATGCTAATGAGATGTAGATTTGCTAATTGTGTAAATCTCCATCTCATTTGATGGAGATTTGCACAATTAGCTTTAAATTGTCCAATTATAGCGCATAAGAAAGAAACATAGACATGAATCTAGAAAAGGATAGATCTGTTCGACTCAAATTCTCACTAAAAAAAGAGAAATAGTCATAGAAATGTGTAAAGTAGTTTCACTGAGTCCCACAAAATAAAATACCATTGTGAAATAAAAGTATTTTAAAATAAATAAATCTTCTATTAAATAATTCTTAATTTAAATACATAAATGAATATATGTTGAATTAAATAAAGAAATATGCTAAAAGTTTATCTACTATATTTTGTTTTTTTCACAGGGTTGTTTTAGTTTATTTAATATTTATCAATGATTTCTTAAGAGCACAATTTATTTATTAATGAAATGGTTCTCTTGTTTTGTTTTGTGGCACAGAAGGAACAAGAACTTTCTTCAGGTCCTAAGAAGTGGGCTCATAGAGGCTTACGATTCGTTCAAATGTTGCTTAAACATTTCAATTAGTTTATCTGTAGTCTCTCCTAAGAACTAACCATAAGAAGCTCTGAGCTTCAGTGTAAATAAAAAAATCAGCTCTGGATCAGTATCTTTGGTGGATAAACCAACATGTTTAGGTGAAAATAGAACCAAACAGGAACCAAGGGAAAACTCGACTGGTAAAAGTCCAGATAGAACCTCTGGACTTTAACTAGGACATTAATCTGTTATATTTATATATATGTATCTATAGATATAAAGATACCTATCTATTGATGTATAGATATATACTCATATATATCTATAGATATATCAATACATAGAGATATAGAGTTCTATATATGTGTATGTACGCGTGTGTGTATATGTGTGTATATAGTTTTATGCATATATTTGTGTATAAAATGTAAAGTAATATTAAAGAGACACATTGGCGACTTATTTCTAAAGAGGAATGAACTTCAGTGATGACTCTGGCCTCCTTTGTTTACTTAGGGTTTGTTTACCTCTGCATACATCATCAGAGGTATTACTGAAAGAATGAGAACAAATAAATTGGCAGATGGTGAAATCCTGAAACTTTTTGGAAACACTGTCACCTTCTGGCCACTTAAAGGAACTACTTTGATGCTTGCAGAAGGAAAGATTTGTACAGGAAGGATCCAGATACAAAAGCACCTTTATCGATTTTACAAAACTGAATATGCGACATGAAATATGATCAAACAGACAGAGGAGGACTGTGATTTTAGCTCAGAGCTGGGAAAACCTTAAGCCGGGCATACACTGCCATATTTTTAATCGTTGCATGCAGCTACAGCTCAAAGTGTACGACAAAATCTCAGGGTTTAAAAGTTCACAGCTCACGATGAATGTTCTCACACCGTGCGGCCCGATGCTCTCATGCAGCCTTACAAACATGTTTGATTTTCTCCAGACCTTATGATTCCTGATCGGGAGGTGGTTGTGAGAGGCTGATCGCCCCTCGTTACCATCTGCACTCTACACCAGCGGTCCCCAACCTTTTTTGCGCCCCGGACCGGTTATATGTCAGACAATATTTTCACGGACCGGCCTTTAAAGTGTGCGGGGTAAATATGATAAAATAAAATAATACGACTGGCATAAAATCAAATACAAACAGCATAAAAATAAAACTCACCATTATGTTGAATTAGCGGGAGCCCTGAGCTTGTTTCTCTGAAACAAGCCGGTCCCATCTAGGCGTAACCGGAGACAATGACACGAAGTGTTTTCCTGATGTCCAGTCTGCTCCGTAGCTTTGTTTTGGTCGCTCTAAGTGCAGGAAATAGGATGCGGGTTAGGGTTATAGATAAGAATGAATTAACCTGTGTCAAGAGGCACAGATGCACCGACTGACGTAATTGGGAGAGAATACCGCAATTTTTTCATATTTTTCTAAATAAAACATCACTCAGACTCTGATCGTCGAATAATATATGTATTTTTTTCTGTGCGGCCCGGTACCAAACACACGGGCCCAACCACCGGGCCGTGGGCCGCTGGTTGGGGACCGCTGCTCTACACAACAAGGCTGAAACTGGGCCCGATCGAAAAATTCTCACACGACTGGAGAATCGGCCCGAAAAGGTCAAAAAATATGACGTATGAAGTGTATGATCGGCTTTATTGAAAAAGAATCTGTCTCCTGAGGCTCAGTAGTTTTACACATGGCTCCAAAGATGGAAAACAAGTTTTATTCAATATTGATCTATTAACCAGGTTATTACATTTCCAAAGAAACAGTTGATATCAGTAGTTTGCAAAGAGGCCAGAGGATGTTCCTTTGCTTGAGCAGTATTTAAAAGTTGATGTTCAGATTAACTTTGGTTTTGTCTTTATTTCAGGTTAAAGTACCAACAGCCAAGCATCACACAGGGGTGAGTATCGTTCTTTGCTGATGAGTTGTCCATTGTTCTGGTTTCCCTAATGATCCGTATCTGAAAGCAGTCGGACTGACGTTGTGTCGGTGACACCCTGGTTGGCTCCGATCGTCTGGGAGGGAACGTTCAACCCAACTCTCCTGGACGCCGTCTACTACAAGAAGAACATCAGCATCGCTGCCACTGTGTTCGCTGTTGGGAAGTGAGTGAGAGATCAGAGTGTTGAGTTTCCTGCCTGCCAACCACCTCTGATTGATCAGAGCTTGAACATGTTCCTGTTCAGGTACGTCATGTTTCTGAGGAACTTCCTGGAGACGCTAGATCAGCACTTCTTCGCGGGTTTCAGAGTGCATGTATACGTCTTCACCGACCAGCCGAAGGAGGTGCCAAAAGTGAAAATGGCTGCCGGCAGAGAGGTAAACAGAGCTTTTAAGACAGGAAGCCGTTCTTTTAATTATTACTTCAAAATGATCACTTGAATGTCTGACAGTAATATTTTTATTTATTGTAAAAGTGATGGAAAAGAGTCGCTGTAATGATTCTGGCTTGTTAAAAATGTGTTGTTCGCCTTCTTCATGGTAAAACGGAAGAGTTAGGATGTTTTGAGCGGGTCAAGGCTGCTCTTGACTCTCAACTGATGTATAAATGGACACAGAGAGGCTTAGTACATATCTTCCAAATCCTTCCCCTTCATTGTTTAAATACAGGTTAAAACTAGTTGTAGCAAAGCTAGCTATCTTCCTTCACATTAAGCCGATGGGTTTATAATCCGATTTTAAATTGCAACTTGCACATCACCAACATCCGTCAGCTTTCCCTTTTCGTCACAATAATTCCACTAAATATCACAAAATTTTTAGATTTTTTAAATGAAAAAGCTTACAGTTTTAATCTAGAAGCACCAGCTCTATGTTTAGATTCTGATAATTGGCTTCTCTAGCGGTCGGGGTTCTCCATGTGTCTGTAGAGGACACATCGCCGGCTGAGGAAGATGAGAATATGTCTTTTAATATTGATTTTGATGCACAATAGTGCCCTCAATATATTTTTTTAGCCTGAGATCAGATCAGACAGAAGTGTGAGATCTGGGGCAGACTGCGATCAGAAGTTAAAGGGATCATAGAATGCAAAACCGAGTTTACATGGTCATAGATGAATAACCATAGTTCAGTGGGTGAAATGGACGTGCAGAGACATTCAAACTCCATTGACTCCTCCTTTCTCTGCAAAACTCACAATTCTAAACTTCCTCCATAAA